CTGCTGGCCTAGTTGTAGTCAGCCATCTTGTGAGGGTGTGATGGTCAATTTGCATAGTACCTGTTTATTATATAGGACTAGAGGCCCAGTGCATGAAATTTGTGCATGGGGGTGGAGGGAGTCCCCTCAGCCCAGCCTGCACCCTCTCCAATCTGGGACTCCTCGGGGGATGTCCCACTGCCAGTTTAGGCCCGATCCCTGGGCCTAAACAAGCAGTTGGACATCCCTCTCACAATCCTGGATCGCTGGCTCCTAATCGCTCACCTGCCCTGCCTGGCTGCCCCTAACTGCCCCCCGCCCCCACCGGCCTGGTTACCCCACGCAGCCTGCTTGTTCAGTTGTTTGGTCGTCTCTCACTAACCCCCCTGCCGGCCTAGTTGTAGTCAGCGATCTTGTGAGGGTGTGGGGTTAATTTGCATATCACCTCTTTATTATATAGGATGGGAAGCATTCACTGAGAAGAGTCAGCTGAGAGTCCAGGGTGGGTTATGGAATCTTCTGGGTGCTGAAGCTTCCAGGGCCTGCCTCTTGCTAAGGGGTACATGGCCTGGGAGGCCAGCAATGATCCAGGCCACACTCTGGGCATCCTCAGGGTGGGATGGGTTTGCAGGAAAGGAATGTTCCAGAAGGAGGGCCTTTGGTGCCAATGCTCCCCAGGCCTGGGGCTGCAGCAGCTGGAGGCGGGGCCTCAGAAGGCCACAGGGAGGAGGGGGGGGGGCACAGCCTTAGCAGGGTGGGCTGGGGCCTGTGCACAGCTTGTTGGGGTAGCGGACGTATTTGCGGTCGTAGGTGTCCAGGTTTTGGCGAAAGCAGAGTGCAGCTGTCTTGTCACACTCGCAGGTCTCTTGCTGGCAGGCCGTTCTGCCGGCTGCGGGGACAAGGTGAGTCAGGGACCCGAGGCTCCGGTCCACAGTCTCACCCCTGCTCTGCTGGAAGCTCATTCTCATGGGGACGTCTCAGGGATGGGTGAGAGACAGGGCGGACACAGGAGGGCTGCCAGGCCAGGATGCTGGGAGGCTGCAAGCTTGTCCTCCTCCCCCAGCTCACTCCTCTGCCCTCCTCCTCCCTCCCACCCGCTTCCACCCTACAGCTGGTCCACTAACTCTGTGTGTGTCAGGGGTGGGGAGCGATGAGGGGAGGGGGGATTTCTGGGCAGCTCCTGCCCCATGTGAAGTATTGCTGATGGGGGATTGCAGCCATCAAGCCGAGAGGAAAATTACGAATGACAGCGACCCAGTCCCAGATGGCTGTGCGTGCCCAGAGCAGCCTGTGCCCAGACTGGAGGCCGTGGGGCCTGAGGCTGGGCCCCTGTGCTTGTGTCTGTGAGTGGACGGAGCCCCTTTCTCTGACAGTTACCTACCCATCCCCCTCCGCGTGTGTGCCCCCACCCAGCGGGGAGCAGAACTGGTACCAGGCACCGGAGGCCCTAAGCCTTGCCTTCCCTCCCTGCCTGTCTGCCCCAGCGGCTCTGGCTCCTTTCTGTCCCCAGGAACACGTCCACAGCTCAGAAATGCCCCGGGCCCTTTCCCCCTCGGTGGTCGCTCTCCATTTCTCATGCTGCTATTTCAGCAAAACTCAGAGTTGGAAGGGGCTTAAGGGTCCAGTCAGTTCTTTTGGGCGGTTCCTGCAGGAGCTGGACTGAAGCTGGGCAAGTGAGTGTGACTACCTCCATTTCATAGATGAGGAGGCAGAGGCTTTCAAGGGGTGCCCAGCCCCGAGCCTGTGTCCATGCCCACCTGACACCTCCCAGCACTGCCCTGACTGGGGCCATCCGGCCTTGCAGGCACCCCTAGGGCTGGGGAGCTCACTCCCCGACAAAGCTGCCTCGCTGAGCAGATGGCTGCAGGAGCAAGAAACTGAGCCAAATCTGCCCCCAGTGGTTGTGGTCCTGGCTCTGCCCGCCCTGAGCACAAACTGGGGTCTGAGCTGAGTCTTCTGTGACGCTCCCTGCCCCCACCCTGCGCCGGCTCCCCCTCCAGGCTCCCCGGCTTTGCAGCTGGAAGATGGCTGGGTTAGCTGGTCTGGGCTCCGCGGGGGCTGGGCTGCATGAAGCCCTCCTCACTCTGACTTGGTCTAGGCTGCTTCTCAGGGTGGGAACCAGAGGAAAGGGAGCTGGTCCAAGTGGGCATGGGGCCTGGCAACGCTGAGCAAATGGACCCAGCCTGGCGGCCCCTGGGGGAGGCAGCCTTTGGGCCTGGCGTCTGCTGTCCCAAATCAGAGTGCCTGCTCTCTGCCTGGGCCCGTGCCCTGAGGCTCTGTCCTGGGGGTTTACACTCGAGCTGCTGCCAGGCCTGGGGAGGGTGTGTGGGTGTGGCTCCTCAGGGGCCTGGCTCAGCTCTGCCCCTTGGCTCCTCTCCCAGCCCCTGGAACAGGGAGGCCTCTTGGTGGGGGAAGCGCCTGAGGCCAGGGCAGGGCCTGAGGGATCGCAGGGCTCTAGATTGGGTGCCAGGCAGAGCAGGTGGGCGTGGATATGCCTCTCCCGGTTCTGTGATGGCGAAGACCCCATCCCTCCAGCCCAGGGCCCGGTGCCGGGGTCTCCGTCAGGAGAGGCTCCTTGTCTGACGCCAGCCCCCTCCCTGGCATTCGGAGCATCACTCACAGCAGAGGATGTTGCTCTTGCTGGCCGAGAAAAGGTACCGCTCCAGTTTGGGCTCGCAGCCCAGCTTCTGCAGGCGCCCGTAGCAGCAGTCGTGGGCATGGCAGCACCTGGAAGGGTCACCAGGGTCTGCTCGGGGGTCCCAGGAGAGGCCAGCCCCCCTTTCTAGATGGCCTCGGCTCCTCCCTCCTCCACGGGTGCTCCCCCAGCTCCTCCACCCCCAGACAGGTCCCCGTGGGCCTCCCGCTCACCAGTCCGTCGGGTCCACCGGCCAGTGGGAGCCGCCGATGCCGCAGTAGCAGCCGTAGTCATTGTACTGCAGCGCCGACTTCCCGGTCATCTTCTCAATCATCACCCCAAACTGGAGCAGGTTCCCGCCAGCCAGGGCCACTGCAGGGCGGGCGGTGCCCTCAGATCCCTGAGCGTGCGTCCCCTGAGGTCCCCTCCGATCCCAGTCAGACATCTCTCTGGCTGTCCAGTTAACCTCGTGTCCCCAGCACCTCCCTCCCAATATCAATAACGCTACTCAGTAATAATATCTCCATTGCACTTGGGTCTCCTCCCCTCCCCGCTTATGTCACTGCACCCAATCCCCTCCCGCTCTCCTCTGCCACCTCCCAGGATAACCCCACTGTCCCCCAAATCTCTCCTGGGTCCTGACCCTCCCCCAGCTGGTAGGCCTGGGCCCCCAGACGCAACCCTGTTCCCACCACGTGCCATCGGACGCCACCAGCTGGGCTTCCTAACCACCTGGACCTCCCCCAGTCACTCCAGATCCATCCACCATGGAGGCGAGGGTGGGGAGTGGAGTGTGGGTGACGAGACCCGTGTGTGCTGTGTGGGGTCCCAGCCAACCCCTTTCTCATGCCCCCCAGGCCGCCTCCGAGGCATCCTCCCTACCCATACCCTCCCCAATGGCCAGTGCTGGCTCAAGCAGGACTGGCCTCAGGATGACCCACCACACCCTCCCAGGGTCAGGGAGTTTGGGGCTCCTGGCTGGGTCAGGGGAAGGGTGAAGGTCACAGAGGTCACTTACCCAGGAGGCTAAGGAAGGTCAGAAGACGGGGAGGCTTCATCTTGGGGGAGGGGCAGTGAGCAGGGCCGGGGCTGGGAGCTGGGAGCTGGGAGCTGGGCTTCGGAGAAGGAGGTGAGCAGGGGCACCTCTGGTCTGCGGGCGGGCACTTCCTTAATAGTTAAATACCCGGGCCCTGTCCACTCCCCGTCATTAACCCCTGAGTGCCCAGTGATGCAAACACTTCCAGGTCTGACACGGGCCACGGCCCGGGGGAGGGGCCCTCTGGCTGTCTGTTCTCAGGCCTCCTGTCCATGTCCGCGCCCCTTCCCCAGACCCTCTGAGGCTCCTGCTGATGGGCTCCGGGCAGGGGCGATGCCAGGGGCTTTGCATTCTGGCTATTTTGATCTCACCCCTGTTTTACTGATGCAGCCACTGAGGCCCACAGAGGCCGAGACAGGGAAGCTCACGTGGCCTGGGAGCGCCACGTCAGTCCTTTCTCCCTGCGCTGGGCCTCTGCCCCCGCCCCGCTCCTCCCCCCGGCCTCCGTGCTGCCCAGAGGGTAGCCAAGAGCCGCTTGACCCCCGCAGGACACCGGGGCCTGGGCGGCCTTTGTCCAAGAACCTATGGCCGAAGGCTGGGAGCTCGGCAGGGGTTTTCCTTTCCTGTCCTTTCCTGGGGAGGCTCCTGCTGATGTGACGAGCAGTGAAAACCTCCCAGATGCCAGGCCTGTCTCCCCCAGCTCCCCAGCAGTGGGGCAGTGGGGCTGCCAGAGAAGGGGGCCTGAGTCAGCGGGAGAACCCGCATTCCAGCTCGCTGCGGTCACCTAGGGGCTGGGTCGGGGAGACAGCAGCCCCCAGCCCAGCTTGTCCCCCAGGGCGAGCTGCTGTCCTCACGGTCAGAGGGATAGAGAGGGTGGCTCTGTCGTGGTCAGAAATGCCAATCCCACCGGCCCTGGGCCCACAGCGCCTGGTTGGCCGGCGGCTGCCCCTCCCTGGAGGCCACTGGGGCAGAACTGAGGCCAGACCCGGTCCTGGCGCGTCTCCCTCCTGCCCGGCCCTCCTCCTTCCTGGCCTGGGACTGGGATAACTTGACCAACCACTTCCATCAACCTGTGGGGCCCGGAAGCTGCTTCATCTTGGCCTCCGAGTCCCACGTCCGTCATTTATTGCGTGGCTTTTTGGTTTATTTGTTAATCCTCACCCGAGGATATTTTCTCCATCAGTTTTTAGAGACAGTGGTGCAATCAGAGAGGAAGGGAGAGAGAGAGAGAGAGAGAGAGAGAGAGAGAAGAGAAGAGAAGAGAGAGAAACATTGATGTGAGAGAGACATCAATCAGATGCCTCCTTCATATGCCCTGATGGGGGCCAGAGACCGACCTGCAACCCAGGTATGTGCCCTTGACCAGGAATCGAACCCGCCACCCTTTGGTGCACCGGCCGATACTCTAACCACTGAGCCACAGGGCTGTTATGTGGCTGTTGGCAGGTCCTTTCCCCAGCTCAGAACCTGGTTTTCCTATCATGAGGAGAGAAAGCATCGCACCCCTGCCTCCTTCGTGTGAAGCTCACATGCAGCTACGCGGAGAGCCCACACGGAGTACTTACTCTGTGCCAGACTGCGCCCAGCCCCCCTCAGTGGGATCTCAAGGGGCTCTCATAGCCCCACGAGGCGGCTGCTACCATCATGCCCACTCTACAGAGAGGCAAACTGAGGCACACGCCTACGTCCTTGGTGAGCAGGATCTGGGACAGGCAGATCAAAGGGCTTAACTAATTGCCAGCAGGAGGCACACTGCCCAGCGCCCACGATGCCTTTCGATGCCTCACAATGTTCTAATTTCTTTAAAATCAGAAGAATGACTATAATCCAGTCTGCATTCTATTTCTCTCCATACCAATGAGGTCACAACATTTGCTTTCTTTTCTTTTTTTTTTTTTAACGCAGGAGAAGGCCCACGAAAGCAAAAGTGCCTGGGCCCACGACAGAAGCCGTGCTGCGGCCCTGAGCTGACCGCAGACCAGGAGCACCCTCCCGGGAGCTGACTGGGAGCCTGGCCTTGACCTCCTTTCAGAGGAGAGGCGGTTGCACACTGCAGACAGGAAAGCGTCCCAGCCCAGGTTCCCTCTCCCCGCCACCAGGATGGAGTCCTGGGAGGTGTCCCTGGGAGAGGGACAGGCAGGCTGGCAGCTGGGATCCCTGGCACAGGGTTGGAATGAAAGGCTTTTGACATGAGAGTAAAGTCAGGGAAGTGGGGTGTGGCCCCCGCCTCCTGCCCCTCCCACTTCTTGCTCGAAGCTCTTCCTGGGACTCTTCATGCTGGGCTCTCTCACCCACTCAGAGCAGACTTGGGGGCCCAGGGGCCAGAGAGGTGAGTCCACTGGCCAGGAACCCCGGCTGCGGTGAGTCATTGGTCCCTCTGTGCTCCCCATCGCCTTTTGGTTTTAATGAGGGCACTCCTGGCAGCCCCTGGCTCCTGGCCTGGGTCACAAAGGCCCAAACGGTGAGTCACTGAGGAGCTGCCTCCTAAATAGCCAAGACTTAGCTTTGACTCCTGGGCAGGCTTGGCCCACAGCCCTTCCTGCGGCAGCTTCAGGGTGTTTCCTCATGAGGGGCGGCGGCGTTTCCGAGACAATCCCTTTGTGAGCCATTTTGAATCCTGGCCTGGCCAGGATGGGGCCCCTGCCAGCCCCTGCCAGTGCATGTAACCTGTCACAGAAAACAGGATTGTAGAGCCAGAGCCAGACGGGGAAATCCAGGTGGGCTTCCTGGAGGACGTGTCCCCGGCTGACGTTTGAAGTGGGGGTGTTGGACAGACTTGGATTTGGAAGAGAGTTTCAGGCATTCAGGAGATGAGGTTGGCTTTCTGGTTCTCTCACCAGGTTGTCTCTGCACCAGCAAGACTGGGACTGGAGTGTGAGCGCCACCACTCAGAAGCTGTGCGACCTTAGCCAGTCCTGTCACCTCTCTGGGCCCAGCTACATCATCCACACTAAGTAGAAAGGAAACAAGATGTGTAAATCCTTTGCAAAGTGCCATGCCCACAAGGAGGGGCCCAGAAATATTGGGTGCCTCCCTCCCTCCCTCCCTCCTTACCTGGCCACAGAGGACAGCTGCCAATCCAGTACCCCAAAGCACCGCCCCCCCACCCCCCCCCATCCCACGCAGCTGGGCCAGGGCTTAACCTCCATGGTGGAGGGTGGCTGGGGCAGAGGTGAGTGGAGGGCACAGAGCTCTGCCCTCCGTCTCTGGGTTTAAAAGGCATCATCATCACCATCCTAACAATAACAACGGCAAGACGACTGCACGTATGTAGCTCCTGCAGTGCCAGCACCAGACTGGGCCTCTCAGTCTGTGGATCGTACCACTTCTGCTGCTTCCCCGAAGAATCCTGCAGACTCCCAGTGGAGTGGGGTGCTCTGAGGGAGTCTTTGCCTGTTTGGTCAATACACTATATCGAGGATTTACTACATGCGGGGGATACACAGGAGAGCAAAACCGGGTATGATTCCTGCCCTCCTGGTCTGACAGTCCAGTAGACAGACAAACATTAATAACTACCTACTGAATGGAAACTTGCAAAGAGAGGTAAGTAGCTTGCAGAATGTTCCATGGGGCCATGAGGACATTTAACAGGGCGTCTGATCTGGGCAGGAGGTCAGGGAGGGCGTCTCTGTGGAAGAAATGACTTAGCAGGGATCTCAGGAAGTTAACTGGGTGAAGATGGAAGTGGAGAGAATTTACATAAGGAAGCAGCCTGTGCAAAGGCCCGGTGTCTGGGGGACATGGTGCCCAGGTGGGGCTGAAAGGAGGTTGGGTAACTGGGCTGGGGATGGGGCAGCCTTGAAGGAAAGTTGATCCAGGGACCTTGCCCTTCCATTGACCTCACAGGGAACCTTTTGCTTGAGCCTGATGGGCAGGTGGCCTAGAGTTCGCAGAACGCTGAAGAGGGCCTGAGCATCCCCCATGAGAACGAGGCAGCTATTTTCACCCCAAATGGGGAGCCCCTGTGGACACCCGAAGGCCAGGGAGGCTGGTCCCTTCTGTGAGAACAGCTGTCATCACAGCTGGGTTCTCCATTTGTGATGGAGAGGCCTGTCGTCACCTTCATAAGGTGACCAGTGGCATTATAAACGGATACAGCCACACCTTGTTGGTTTTGTCTAGGGAACAATGGAACGCCAGTGAGGGCTTGAAGCAAGGAGGTGTCCCGCTCATACCCATGTTGGGACAAGATGCTCTGGCTGCCGAGAGGAGAGCGAACAGGAGGGACTCCAGCAAGGAAGAGAAGGCCAGGACGCAGGGTGCCCCCACGCATGGATGACAGGGCGGGGCTGTGCTGGACGCACTGGGTGGGCGACAGAGCCTGAGGAGGGGAGTGAGTGCATCGGGCCACACCCCCTTCATGGGTGCAGTGATCACAGGTGGGAGAGGAAACCGCGGACCCTCACCCCACAGACACATCACTGCCGACCCAAGTGGGTAGGTGGGGGAGGGCCCTGGGGAGCAAGGATGCCCAGAGGCTGGGGCAGGTGCCACGTGCAGAACAAGCCCTGTGAGTTTTGCTGAGATACGTGTGTCTGTAAGTGCCTGTGTGTGTATGTGTGTGGGGTGGGGAGCGGGGGAAGGGGGACAAGTGTAGGCCCTGCCCAATGTGAGGGGCCCCGTTACTCTGATTGCCACGGTGTCCTGGCTCCGTTTTCCCATCTGTATAGTGGGACGGATAATAACAGCATCTGCCTTGTCACGTTTTTGGTGGAGTTAATAGAACAATACCTGGAGCCTGCAGGTGCCGGGTTGTTTCTCAGCATCTAGAAGGGTTCAGGAGTCTGGAGAAGGGGCTGCGGTCAAATTAATAAAGAGACTAGAAATATAAATTTGGAATACATGGGGGAGCCAGAGGCGACTTAGCTAAAGCAACCAAGTTCTCTCTATCTCTGGAACCAGGGCTCTTTATTCACACATTTTGCCCTACAGCAAAGCAGATATACATATCAAAGGTAAGGTTTGGTATCAGGCTGGGGGTGCTCTTTTTGCTGTTCCAGCAGCAGGTAATAATATATG